TAAAAACTAGCTCTTTTTCCAACATGTTTTATGATGTGTTTGATGAAAGCTTTTGAATTTCTGCTGAATGATGTTCATGAAAACTGAATAATTTTTTAGGGGGGGATTGAGGTTTGTTTTTGATGATTACCTCAGAAGGGATCCATGGGTGGAGTTAAAGTTCAGAAAATGTTTGAACAGGTCCAATCTAATCTTCCTGGAGCACCACAATTTTTTTTTGTGTGTGTCCAGAGATAAAAAGTTGTGGTGTGTACGATTAGTATAATGTACTTGTTCTATTGATTAGTAGATAACCTTTAACATGAATGTTTTCCCACTCCTTCATGTAAGTAGACTGCAAGAACCTGGATATTAATAAATTTAGTTGTCACACTTCTTTTACACAACCTATACCAAACTATTGTGCTAGTTGTTTCCTCAGCGATCCACAATGAAGTAACTAGTCATTGCCTAATTCTTTCCATTTCTACAAAAAGTGAGTCTAATTAAACGCATCTCATTTTTCATAACAACAACTACACTCCAATATAATATTATATTTAATATTGTTGTAACCACTAACACTTCAGAAATAAGCAGACTCATAATCTTCGCAACAAGTGGACAAGATTTAGATGCAGTAACGAACCACAGATAAGGGGAATGGATAGATCTTACACCAAAACACAATGAGCACATAAAACACATAATTTTTTTTGATCTTAAGTTGAATGTCAACATTGAGAAAAGAAACCGAACTTCATAATAATGAGTTAAGCACATAATTAATTAAGCTACAGATGGCTGATATTGTTCTTCTGTAATTCACTCCAAAGTCTCTGTATGTTTTGAGACATCTAAAGTGGACGAGATTAAATAGTAAACACCGAAATAAGGAAATTGTTTTGTTAAGGTGAATATAAGCACAAAAAATTATATTTATGGCAGAGGTAAATTATAAGTATCAAGTATTCGACTTGAGAATTTACCACCGTTTGAAATTGTGGCTACAAGTAATAGAAAAAATAGAAATTATCCTAAGGCATGCTACATGCACTCTCTTTTGCTCTAAGATTTAATTAGGTGTATCCCCATAATTCAATTATCTTTTTCGGTGATTAATTGCAAAAAAAATAAACATTAACAAATAGGAAAGTAAATAGAAAAAGTTGTCAATTTTGTGTTTACTATCAAGGTGTTTCTACAATAACTTATTAACAGGTAGATAATGGCTAGTTTGATTCCATTAAATGTAATAAAATATTTTATTAAAAACTAATAGAAGTAAAAAATAATATTGCAAGAGTCAAATGAATTGTTGGTCATGACTCCTAATTTGCGGAGAAAAGAATTAACGATAGATAGGTTTTTCAATTTTGTTAGAACAAAAGAGTAGTTGTGAAACATGCGATTGAAGAAGAATAACTCTTTCATGAGTCAGCCCAGTTAGAAAGAAGCCACTATATAGGCTCCATTCAACAATACATTCAACCCTGTCAAGGATATCTATATAAAGTAGATTGTAGATTTTGATGAATATTGCAATTTTTATAAGGATCCACGCTACAATTAAAGTTCGTGTCGTCCTATTATAGAAAAAGGGACACAACTATCAATGGAGGAGAAGCGAAGGATTAAACAGTAATAAATTAAAATAGAAAATGATGGAAAAAATTTCAATGGGATTTATGAGAAGTCTTAAATGAAAGAAGAAGTGTTGTAGTAACACATCAAAGTTCTAATGATACGGACGATAGAACAAGGCAGCTTAGACATGATAATAAATTATTGACAATTGAAAAATCTGGTAAAAATTCTTGACCCCTTAGGTGTTCAAACTGTGGAGAATGATCAAGTTATATCAGGATATGAAGTGGAAACCCATAAGCTTTACCTACTATTAATGATGAACTAGATATAGATAATGAACTTGACTTGAAAAAAAACCTAATATGGTGAATGTGACAGTCGAGCCACAACTCTACGTTAAATTAGTGAAAATGATGTTTGAATTCTATATGATGCAGAAGATTTTTTAGTTGCGGTTGGACAGTGGTAGCACAAAAGGGTTCTTCACCAAGAAGAAGTGGAACTACTTCAGTCTTCAACATACTGCCTCGAAGAATATTGATTGCCCAACTGTAGTTTAGTTCTTTTAGAAAAACCTCTTATAGACTTATTGCATGGGATCAATATGATGACATAATAACAATTGACAAGGTGCATAAGTAGGGTATTATTAGACCCGTAAACTACTTGATCTAACTACGTGCAGACATGTCAATGACTTGGGCATTGGTCTTGACATGAATGCGGGCACAAAAGTGCAACACAGTTCAAGGTGCTTGGGGGTTGGCAAGGCAACTTGAACATGCAAGGCTTACGTGCGGTCTAGAGTGATTATCAAGGCAGCGTGATTGCTTGACAAGGCAAAGCTTTGAATACTTGACAATGGCTAAACAAAGGCATTTCACATGAATTTCTGAAATGAAACTAAGTGTTGAAGAGCAGCTAAAATATTCTAAGTATTGGAAGCTGACTGAAATATTGTAAGTTTTTGAATGTAGGCTGAAATTTTCTAAGTGTTAGAATATTAATATTTCGTGTTGATAAGGATGTATTATGAATTAGATTCTATCTGTTAGAAATATAGTTGTTGGAAACTTAGTTTGAATCTTGTGATGACAAGTGTCGGACATGTGATATTTGTAACTTCCTCATGTAACTGCCATATGCAGAAATTTTATAAGGGTGGAAATTTCTTTTAAGGCCTGAGAGTGTATTCTTAGCCTTAGACAAATTCGTGAAGCCTTCCCTTTGTATTAATTATAATATTAATAAAGGTTGGGATGAGTTCATGTACATTATGTCTGTTATTTAACATTGCTGTTAAAGTATTTCTATACTTCGTCCAATTTGTGGGAGTAAGAAAAGCTGAGTGTTGCAGGCTTTTGCAAGACTACCGAGGGTGGTGTTCGGTAAAAATAAATAAATCGGCCCTCTTTTTATTGGTATCAGAGCACGGTTGAACGATGATGAAAAACACAGGTGGGAACTGGCACAAAAATTTGAAGCATTTGTTGTGATTTCCGATGATACTATGAGAGATCCTTCGTTTTTGGATTTGTTGACACAAGTCATTGATTTGAGACTTAACGCTGAGAACGTTCAGGGGGAGATTGGCGTATATTGACAGAATGTTTATAAACACATCACTGAATCTTGAATTTTTGTAACACAACTACCAACAACTTGAGGGACTACAGAAGGAAAATGAAAAGCTTCGTGCAAAGATAGTTGTATTGTGTCATGTTGTAGCTACATTGAGTTCAAATCATGTTTAATCATCTAAGGTTAAAATTCCAGAACCCAAAGCCTTTAGTGGTGCAAGAAGTACTAAGGAACTGGAAAATTTCATTTGGGACATGGAACAGTATTTTATTGCTGCAAGGGTGTCTGACGCTGAGAAGTTAAACATTACCACAATGTACTTGACAGGTGATGCTAAACTTTGGTGGAGAACTCGAAATGTAGATGATGTAAGTGCTGTTCATATTAGAATTGATATGTGGGATAAGTTAATAAAAGAAATGCGCGATCAATTTCTTCCTAGCAACGCCTCTTGGCTTGTAAGGGATAAGTTGAAAAGGCTAAGGCACACAGGTTCGGTGAGGAAATACATTAAAGAATTCACCTATGTGATGTTAGACATTCAAAACATGTCTGATGAGGATAAGTTACACAACTTCATTTTGGGTATGCAAGGATGGGATCAAAACAAACTTCGGAGGCAGAATGTTAAAGATCTGCCTGGAGCAATTACTGGTGCAAATTCATTGGTTGATTTTCAAACAACTCATCCTTTGACGCATGTTCCCTCTACTTCAAAGACTAAGAAAAAGAATGATAAGAAAGGGGAATGGAAAAAGGATAGTCGTAAGGATTGTAGAAATGACAAAGGAAAGGCACAAATGAAGGATGGAACACAAACAAAAGAACAAAGATGGTAATTCTAAGAGCTGTTGGACTTGTGGTGGTCCTCATTTGGCCAAGTCTTGTCCAAACTGGGAAAAAGTAAACGCTTTGCTTGCTCGAAATATGAATCAAAGGGAAAAAGATGAGAAAATTGTGGCTGCAATGGCAAATCCATTGGGATTTCCCTTCAACCATATTACGTTGGTTAATAATGTTGCAAAAACATCTAGTACTTTGAATCCTCATGCCTCCCTAATTCATATAGAAATGACAGTGAAAGAACAACGTGTGATGGAAATGGTTGATACAGGAGCCACTCATACGCTTGTAGATGTGAAAATTGGTACAAAATTGGGGCTGAAGTTGGTTAAAAGTCCTTCCTAAGTCAAAACAGTCAATACTAAGGAAAATGCCATTGTGGGTATGGCTTATGGTGTGTCTATGTCGACTGAAAATTGGGTGTGAAAACATAATTTGATGGTGATGATGCTTGGTGAATTTGAGATCATACTTTGAATTAATTTTCTAAGAAAATTCCAGTTTATTTCATTTCCTCACTTAAATGGAGTGATGGTCATGAATGGAAGCAATGCTAGATTTCTTAAAGGAGTTCATCCATTTGGGAACATTAATAATGTTTCAATGAAGAAAGACAAGGGAATGTTCTTGTCTGCTATGTCAATCGACAAAGGGCTGAAGAAGGGTGATGACTCTATCCTTGCTGCCTTTGTTGAAGTGAAACCTGATGTTAAGATGGAAGTGCCTAATTGTCTTGTTGAATTGCTTAAACAATATGATGATTTTATGCCGCTTGAATTACCAAAGAATTTACCACCAAGGAGGTATATCGATCATAAAATTAAGTTGCTGCCTGGTACAGTTGCTCCTGCATAGGCTCCTTATCGTATGGCTCCTAAGGAAGTGGCTGAATTGCGTAAAACTAGTTTTTGGATGCTGGATTTATTCAGCCATCTAAGACTCCATATGGTGCCCATATTTTATTTCAAAACAAACAGGATGGGACGATGTGAATGTGTGTAGACTACATGGCACTGAACAATGAAACTGTAAAGAATAAGTATCTGGTTCCATTGGTGCAGGATTTGATGGACAGGTTGAGTAAGGCATGCTGGTTCACAAAACTTGATCTTAGGGCAGGTTATTTGCAACTTAGGATAGCACAAGGTGATGAACCAAAAACAGATGTGTAACTAGATATGGTTCATACGAATTCCTTCTAATGCCATTTGGGCTAACTAATGCTCCGACAATATTTTGCAACTTAATGAATAAAGTACTGTTTGACTACCTTAATGACTTTGTTGTTGTCTATCTAGATGATATTGTCATTTATAGTCGAACATTGGATGAACATGTTAATCACTTAAGTTTGGTTCTTTCTCAGTTGAGAAAATACACACTTTATGTTAAGATGGAAAAGTGTTAGTTTGCTCAACAGAAAATTTTTGGGGTATTTTGTTAGTAAAAATCATGTTTGAATGGATCGTAAGAAAGTGCAAGCCATTGTTGATTGGCAGGAACCTCGTCATGTGAAGGATTTAAGGTCATTTCTTGGCTTGGCTAACTATTACAGAAAATTCAATGTTGGTTACTCAAAAAGGGCAGCGACTTTGACAGACATGTCAAAGAAGGATACGAAGTGCCTGTGGTCTGAACAATGTGATGAAGCATTTCACAATTTGAAGGAACCTATTGCATTTGAACAAATACTCAAATTACCTGATTTTGAGTTACCATTTGATGTGCACACTGACGTGTGAGACAAAGTAATAGGTGGCGTATTAGTGAAGGAAGGTCATCCTGTTTCCTTTGAAAGTTGGAAATTGAGTGATGCTGAACAGAGATACTCAACACATAAAAAAATATGGTTGCAGTAGTACACTGCCTGCAGGTTTGGAGATTTTATCTCTTAGGTACTCGATTTGTAATAAGAACTGATAATGTAGCAAATACATTTTTCAAGAGGCAGAAAAAGTTGAGTCCTAAACAAGCACGGTGGCAAGAATTCATGGCACAATACAATTTCGTGTGGGAACATAAATCAGGAAAACAAAACCAGGTTGCTGATGCGCTGAGTAGAAAAGAAGTATTTGTTGCAGTATATTCAATTTCAAAACTCGAAACTGACTTCTATGATTGAATCAGGTTGTGTGTTGCATATGATTCATTGTATGTTAAATGGATGGGTCAAGTGCAAGATGGCACAATGAGACGGTATTGGATCGAGGACGATCTACTCCATTTTAAAGGGGGGAGGATCATTGTACCAAATCAGGGTGGATTGCGCAAAGACTTAGTGAAAGAGGCACATTATTCTGCTTGGGCTTGACATCCCGGTTTTGAGAGAATTTTAGCCTTACTGTCTCGTGTTTATTTTGGGCCGAAAATGGAAGACGGTATAGAGGCATAAGTCAAGACTTGTCATGTTTTTCAAGTCGATAAGACTGAATGTAAGAAGGAAGCAGGTTTGTTGCAACCTTTGCCTGTTCTTGAAAGTTTGTGGCTATCAGTAAGCATGAATTTCATTACTTGATTCTCTAAGGTAGATGGCAAAGCATATATGGTGGTAGTTGACAGGTTTTAAAAATATTCTATTTTTGTTGCTGCACCTGAACTATGTTCATCTGAAGTTGCTAATGATTTGTTCTACAAATATGTGGTTAAGTATTTTGGCGTTCCGGCTGACATCAAGAGTGAGAGAGATACAAGGTTCACTGGTAGGTTTTGGACAACTTTGTTCAATATGATGGAAACTGAGTTAAAATTTTATACTATGAATCATCCACACACAGAGGGACAGACGGAAAGAATTAATCCCTTGTTGGAAGAATACTTGAGGCACTATGTGACAGCAAGTCAACGAAATTGGGTGACATTGTTAGACACTGCGCAGTTCTGCTAAAATCTGCACAAGTCATCTGCAACAAAAATGAGCCCTTTTGAAATTGTTTTAGGCAAAAACGAAGGCATTTCACGTGAATTGTTGAAATAAAACTAAGTGTTGGAGGGCAACTAAAATATTCTTAGTATTGGAACCTGGCTGAAATATTCTGAGTGTTGGAATGTATCCTGAAATATTCTAAGTGTTAGAATATTCATATTTCGTGTGGATAAGGATTTAATTTGAATTAGATTCTATCTTTTAGAAATATAGATGTTGGAAACTTAGTTTGAATCCTGTGATGACAAGTGTCGAACAGGTGTCATTTGTAACTGCTGCATATAACTGCCATGTGCAGAAATTTTATAAGGGTGGAAATTTCGTTTAAGGCTAGTGAATTTGTTCCTAGCCTTAGACAAATTCGTCAAGCCTTCCCTTTGTATTAATTATAACATTAATAAAGGTTGGAACGAGTTCTTGTACATTCTGTCTGTTGTTTAACTTTGTTGTTAAAGTATTTCTATACTTAGTCAAATTTGTGGGAGTAAGAGATCATGAGTGTTGCAGGCGTTTGCAAGACTGCCTAGGGTGGTGTTCGATAAAAAAATCGACCCTCTTTTAGGTATGGTGATAGAGAATTTGTTTTAAGGCACCTACCGATGAGACTGGCAATGCGGAATCATATGCAAATATGAACAACATCAAATAAATTAAAGAAGTAATGGACTATCAAATAATGTTTGATTTATTTCACGAATAAGAAAAGAGATACTTCATGTTAAGTTAAACTAACAAGCTATATATTGGGTTGATATCTCAACTGTATTGTTTATTTTTATATTTTTTATTACTTAAGCATCCTCGTTTGTAATGTCATCATGAGTTTAATTTTATAAAGTCCGTAATGATCATAGAGTTCCTAATTTTGTTTAGCTTTTATGTTCTTCATAAATGTTATTTTTCGAGGTTTCTTACTTCATTAGGATTATGAAAGGTAAGTTTACATCTATATCAGAAGTATATAGTAATGGTGGCAAAAGAGAAAGTCAGTCAGGCTAACCATATGATCATAACAAATATACCAAGTTTAAAGCTATGCGAGTTACTCCACCACTACTCCAATAATAAAAACAGTCATTTCACCATTAAAAGAAATCCTTTATAGTGGATAAACACATACACATAACCCCAAATAAGGATTTCATGACGACCATATGATAGACAATAAGGTAACTAGACACATATAGGTATGAAAATCCTAATGAACACAACATAAGAAATAAAGAACAAAAGAATAAGTTGTGCATCAAAACTACTACCTGCAATACTAAGGGTAGCACTTTTGACCGAAGGCTCCACAAACCAAAAAATACTAACCTGACTAAGGCAACTGAATCTTGGTCCCACGTCATAGACACTTCATAGACATGTTCCTAAACTATCCACAATCATGACAAACCATATGGGCTACGTTCTTGTGAGAACAATCAAATAAGCTACCCTGGATACCTCTTCAAGACAAAGGACCATCTACAACACCCTGGTATAACTCTTAGAAAATTTAACATAAGCCCTAGGGGCTTGAACTTACCGAGTATGTTGCATGTGATGTGTGAACATAGAAAATCACTAGGAAACAGTAGTCATATGATATAATCAAAATTGATCCTACCAGAAGCAACATATCGAGATAACTTGCTGAAATAGGATTTCATGTCATACATGAATACCCAGGATTTAAACTGTGAGAAGCCTGACAATAATTGTGTCCACCGTGGAGACAAAACATGCCTTAAAATTACATGGAACTAGAGGTGCTACCTCCGTGGTTTGGATAGGTCAATAGTGGGGATGAAACATACTGAGATGATACCTACCTCAAAGTGAGATGTTGTCATTGTTTTATCTATGGTGAGCCCTCTTACCACTACCCCTGTAAGTCTCAAGACACACCTGGTCTACAGCCCTCACATGACTAACAGCCTGAAGGGAGGTAGACTCACTCACCTACTATCAAGTGTTGTGATGCTATAGTAAGTCGTAAAGTGTCACGAACCAAGATAAGTACTTTGTCATAACCGCCGTAGTTAACCTATCAGAGGTATCATACCGGCGACATAGATCTTTCACTGCATACAATACTTAAAAATATAGAAGAATTTAAAACATTCTTCACACACTAAGAATATTTTCATTAATAAATAAGCTGAAGACTTTAAGACTTAATACAATATGTCTCATAACCATTTTACATCTTTAGAGTACAACATAGGGATTAATCCCATATAAGACTTTTAAATAAAGATTAAGAAGACATAAAAGAACATGTGGGGTCTTGTCCTAGAATCCATGAGGACTCACAAAAACTTCATCTTCAACCCTTAGAAACATATCCATCATCCATAGCATACCAAACCTCAGATCCCTACACTTTAGTCAAAAAGGAAAAATAAGGGTTAGCACAATTAAGTACTAAGTATGGAAGCCATGAAAAAGGGACATTTATCAGAGAAACATGTTTTTCATGCTATTTTGGTAAAACATCATAAAGACAAGTACAAGAAATATGTTTAAAGTCAACATCCAAATATAAGATAAGACAACAATAAAAAAACATGACCATATTCAACAATTAACCCATTTCATCATATTATACCCTCAACCTAAGTTTATCCTAAGACCCACCTAAGTATGACATGAAGTGGCCGCCCAATAAACCTCTTTAAAATAACCCTAAGTGTCCCTCAAGACTACAAAAGATAGAGACCTTTCCTTTTCAACATATTATCACCAAGTGAACATTATTTGTGTAAGACATTTAAGAGACAACTAAACAAATAAGGGAAGTCATAAAATGGTCTTAGAAGACCTAGGAAGCTCACTTTAGCATCTTTATGGCCTACTCGTATCATATTGACTACACGTAATAGCACCCATCCAATAACTAGAGTGCACATCCCACAGATGGGAATAGGCATTAATAGACATAGACCACACTAGCTAAGCATGCAATGCGGTGTCATAAGACCCCACACCATGGAAGGTGTTCTACTTGCCAAGGGTAGAACTAGTTCACATCCTATGTAAGCACAAGGTTTTGTTATTAAAAGAAGGGCACCAACTTTAGTTCTTCCAATCCTAGACATTCATTCATTCTCAAGAAAGGATGCCTAAGCCTACCAGGTCAAGAGATCACATTCAACATAACTTTTATGCATCAAGAAGGAGGCACCTAAGTCTACCAATTCAAGACATTCATCACATTATAAAGACCATTCACAATCCATCATCATTACACTAAATCACATCGACATCACATAAGCACTTTCACCCTGTACATCCACATGTACCATCACCCTATACAAGAACACATAAGCTTCATATAACCAACTTCATATATGCCATAACATGATAGTACTATAATTAACATAATAATGCCTACAATTCCATGATCACAATACATACATACATATTATACATACTTAGATATTGACATATACGTACATATATATACACATACATGCATACATACATGCATACACACACACACACACACACACAAACAAACACACACACACATACACACACACACACACATATATATATGTGTGTGTGTGTGTGTGT